TAATCCCTAAAAGAATAAGTCTAGACTGACCATCAGTTGCCATAGTTTGTGTAAACATAATTTGAGTTTTAGGGAGCGTAGCCAAAGCGGACAATGATAGTGTTAGGCTCAGCTGCTGAAACAAAATAAAAGGAGATACATAATTGCAAATTAATACTTTTCAAATTAAGTTTTTTCAAATTGCCTGTTTCAATCTTTTGTCCATCTTCATGTTTTTTTCTTTACTTTTCAGCCTGAGGAAATAATTATTTTTCATTAACTGCTAGTGTATTATTACTCTCTGTGTGGTCACTCATAATGAGCAGTAACAAAAGCCCTCAAAACATCACACGAGTCGGTCAGTCGCGTGATGCACTCGAGTTAATGCGTCTCCTGCACTTAGCCACACACCACGCGGTCATTTTCATTTTCGCCTGCGGCTCATGTTATTACGAGAACTCTCAAAGCATTACTCTTGTCCATAGATAACGAAATGCATCCACTATCAGCGTTTTCGTATTTTTGACCAGAAATCTAGTTTCCAAGTTGTACATTAGGCTACATACACAAAGTATGCTACCACCTACAAGATTGACCGAGCTACGGACTCAAACCGCAATATGATTTGCACTGCGATTCAGTGTAAGACCACACACAAATTTTTCACGTTTAAGTATTTCATAACTTGTTTTTCCCATGAAATCTATTTTTATGGCAGAATACCCATCATTTTAGTTTTTTTTTAGGCCAACGTACTGTGCAAACAAACTGGATATTTCTTTAAAACTTATTCTTCGTTTTGCCCCTCCCCCTAACCTCCCCTCCCCTCCCCCCCCCCTTCATTAATTTTCATTGTATTGTGCAATAATAAAATAGTACAGTGCAATAATATAAAAAAATGTCTGCCTGCAAGGCTAATTCGCTGGTGGAGATTACCGGCCAGACAAGGGATCTTGCTGACATTTTTTGTATTTTTCCTCGCGCATACGGTAGAGTTCGAGCAAAATCGAAAACAGCTTATTGTCTAAATTCCAATTTACTTCTCTAATTTCTCTGTAACAGGTAAAGTGGTCATCGACGTCTTTTGTAAATCAAAGAGCGGCATAGTCACTTATGTAATACTTGTGGAATTCATCATAGATGTCTCCTTGGCTTAGCTAAATAACACCGGCCTTTTTACCTTTGATTAGAAATTATTCAGGGTGAATTTCCAGATCTATAAAATAACTGCAGATAACTATCATCGATTTAATCATTTCTGGCGTAATTGAATAACATTCAAATCTTGCATTGAAGCCGCAACCATGCGCTTTTCCTTTACGACAAACTCGGCTGTCAGAATATACGTATACTCCTAACAATCAACTAATCATATTCTCCTTTCAGAGTTTCTATTAGCTGTTGTGGCTTAAAGAGTATCGACGCATGCTTTACTGAACAGATTAAATACAATATTGAACGAGATGCAGCCAATAGAAGTATGGAAGAATTTCAGTCCATGTTACGACCACCAAATGCGTTTTATTTGGCAGTAAATCACAAGAGAGTCATCATTCCCTTCAATTATAAAAAAAAATGCCCCGATCTGATTTGACATTGAAAAGATCGATGTTTTAGAGACAATACCCAAAGGTCGAGTTATTCAACTCTGTACAACTTTAACACCAAGAACTGAATTTGTTGTAGGGCGCAAAGTCTGAAAAGTCAAGGATGAATAATGTTTATCAAATCGAGTGTGGGGTTTAAAGTTCAAAAGACTCGGCTGTTACACAACACATGCTTTTCTTGTTTAGAGCTCAAGGCTTACTTAAGGCCTGTTTCTCGAAAGTACCCGAGTACTGGTCCAATTTTGCTTTGTTTCCTTAAATTGTTTGGCTTTAGTTTCGAATGGATTCATAAAACCGCAAACAAAAAACAGCTTTTTAAAACGAGTAACCCAGGAGATACGGACCTCTGACTCTTCACATGCTCAGTCTAGACGCCAAAGGTGTTGATGTCAAGAAATCGAAACTACTCTTTTTCCTCTGGCTTTTTGTCTCTGTTTACACACTGGACATGTTTGTTTTCGTTGCCATTTGTTTCCTCTTTAGTTGGTAACTTTTAAAGGCTAACCCAAATTTTGAAATAATTTAAAAGTTGCATTGCGTGAACTTTAAGTTTTACAAACTTTTTTTAGCAATCTCTTTGTTTTGAGGCCTCCTCGTGAGTCCTTTTTGTAGGCTTTTGTTTGTTTGGTATTTTACTATTTTGACTGAATAACAAAGTGTGACCCGCAATACAAGGTTCCTCTGAGAAAATTTACCCACGTGCAGAGAATAATCTACACGGTTTACCTCGTGTACAAGTGGTAAATTACTGGCTTTTAATCCAGTGAATTGACTAATGGATGGCCAATCACTGGACGTAACTGTCTGGAGATAGGAAATCAAATGCTAGACGTAGCTGGCGGCCGAGAAGTAATGGAAAGGTTGTTGATATATGTGAACAAAGAGCTGCTCTGTAAACTTTGGATGTGCTGTAATTTCTCAGTTCCCCTTGTTTACCTTATAGGCTCCTTTTAAATAATCCTTGCCAGTTTTAATTCCAAACCATATTTATCCTACCTCATAGAGAACGAGCTGATGGTTTAATGACAAAATTGTTGACTTTAATGATAGCTTAGCTTTTTGTTTATTCGTTTGCGACTAATTTTATCTAAAATTAGATCTTTTACGCGCAAGACGTGAATTGGGAGAGAGTTTAACGACCGTCTGCCTTAGAATAGTGTCCTTTATTTTTTGGGGTTCAAAGTAGATTTAAAATGAAAAAGGTTAAACGTTGAAGAGACGTTTTTCTGTTGCTTTCACAACTGCGAAGAAGCTCAACAATACTTTCTATATAAATTTGATTTTGACATAAATTTGTCATCGACATGGATTGAGGAATTCACTCGCAAGCGGGTCTAAACTGGAAAAATACAGTGCACCTCGTAGACTTATAAAGTTTTATTTTGCATGTACAGATCTATTTCCGGCATGGACTTGAAAATATTTCATTAATTAAAAAGTTCTTGACTTCTGCTTAGCTTTGAATTGAGATGGTAATCCTGGTTTTCATAACTAGGTAAGAGACAATTGTTGGCAAACATTTTGACACTTCAGTAGGCCTCATGGTTTGGTAAAGAGTAGGAATTGAAAGCTTAAGTAAACCCCTAGGCATGCAACGAAATTTATCGGCAAGAACAAACGACAAAAGTTTTTAAATTTCCATTACAACTCAAAAATGAAATTCGAGTTGGCTCGTGGGAGAAATTTCTTTCACACGATCTGGACACCGTATGATTTACTTCTTGCTTTTAAAGAAGATATCTCTGATGGCATTCAGTTTTTCTTTACGAAGGAAGAAGAAAAATCGATACTGTCAATTTGTGAAGAGCAAATTTCAAAAAGTAAACTTGAAGGAATGTCCGATGATCAATATGACAAAGAGTTGATATTGGTGAGTCTGAAATGATCTTCCTTTCGCGTGGTGAGAAATCAAGCGGTATTTTCCACCCAGGGGACAATTGTTCAACAAACACCTTGCCATCGAGAAGCATATGATTTATCCTAACATCAATTCAAAAAAAGCCTCAAATCTTGAAGTAGATGCAATCAAATGGCATTTTTCATTCGCTAATTGCAAACCTTTCACATTCGAAGGCGTAGTTGTTTTCAAAAATTATAGCATTTTTATTTTGCTAATTGTTTGAGGTAAACTTGATTAGATGGGCGGAATCCTAGGAGACACAGATGTCACGTCTGCTTCACGGCTCGGCCGTAAAAAAACCTCGTTCTTGCAGGTACCTCATTGTTTGATTTCCTTTCAAGTTATCTAATGACTCTAAAGTAAACTTTATCCAACCAAATTTTAGAGCAATTTACTTAACGACTGGTTTTTGCATTGATTCAACAAGTGCAATTTTATGTAATCGCCAATAAAAGCCAACCTTAAGCATCCAACCACACTGAATGATTGATTATTGATATGCATAACCCTACAAACCAAGCAGGAGTTACTTTGTAGATTTCCATCACAAAACATGTCTGTTTTTTTCCCCTGAGATTTAAACGCTCAGTTGCGGTGAGTTTTGTATTACTTTGTATCAGAACGCCAAAGTAGTAGAGACGAGAATGAAAGGCAAATTCAAACACAAAAATTCCTGCTATGAACTGTTAACCTCCAAGTCACAAGCTAAGATTAGGGTTGAAGGCTATTGAGCATGGATTTCTTTCCGTGCGAGTTGGTTATCTTGCCACGAGGTAAAGCAGAGACGCGCAAACAAAAATGTCATCCTAGCTTCTAATAACCCTAAATTAACAGACCAAATAAGAAGGCTGGCCTATTAAGATTAAACAAGACAAAACCCTTACTTGTAAGATGTGTTTACTTAGTGAAAGCTACCAAATCCACGTGCTTCGGTCTGTATGGACGTCAAGCGAATTTGAACTGTGCCAGAGGGTGATTAGACAGACAGACAGACAGATAACTTAAAACTGACAGAATATACTCACGAACAGAAAAAAACAAAAGCGGTGACTCGAGATCCAAACGCATTGTTACACATTTCTCGCAATTAAAACGTGATTGTCATTTTTAGCGATTGCACGAGAAATGCTATGGCAACCGAACTTGAATTAGATCGCTTCTCATTCAAAGAGCTGTGGTATGTAGTCTTTGAACCGTCTTAATTCCGGTGGATCGCGGAGCAAGGTTAAATCTATTGTTCATGTTTAAACACCGTTACGAATACACACATGCTTAGACCTCCCATTCATCAGTTGCTGAGAGAATGCTCGCTTAGTAGCAAACGATCGCATAAACCATTTAAGAGAATCTAATTTAATTAGGTGGTTACCCATGCAAATCCGAGATCAGTTTTCCACCAATCAGAGCCAAGCTCCTTGACCACTGACCAATCAGAGAATACCTACTTTATGCACCTGTTCAGGACCAGCAAGTACAAATATCGCCTCTAAATTTTCATGCAAGACATCGTCAGCTCAGAAACTCCCGGGGAACAGAAATCGAAATACTCGAGGTGTCTCTCCATAAGAAAATTTTTTACCAGAATACCTCTTTTTGGAGAATTGCAGAAATATGGCTGACGCAGACGTTCTTGCAGCGAGGAGAGGAAAATCAGGTACGATAAAATACTGGAAATTACCTTAAATATCATTTCCTGTGGATCATAAAATCGTATTGAATACGATTTTATTCCAGGTCATATACAAAGAAAAAGTATAGCACAACGAAAACGCTTTGCATTGCAATTCAGAGACTTTAGCTCAATAACAACGCTCAAATTTATTGGATGTAATAACGTACCCCAGATTTCTATACAGACAGCTGCAATAGAGGCTACGCCTAATCAAACAAATTGCATTAAGATAGGATGTTTATTTAAGTAAAAGCGTTGGAAAAACAACTCATCTTTGGGGAAAATTGCCCCCTGAGCAAAGCTAATAATCGCAAAACGCGATCAAAAGAGAGACCGTTTAATTGAGGGTTGCTTACTCGTGTGTACGCGTGCCGCAAACAAAGCTAATCTACCGAATAGCCGAAAGTCGAAAAGTCACATTACTCAGTGTCAAATTACCAACTACTTGACAACTCTATTTCAGAAGCCAAGCAAACAGTTCTGTGTAAAGTGTGCGGAGACAGAGCTTCTGGAAAGCATTATGGAGTATTAACATGCGATGGATGTCGCGGATTCTTCAAGCGAAGCATTCGCCGGGATCTTGCGTATCAGTGCAAAGAGAATAATTCCTGCCCTATAGATGTGGCCAGACGAAACCAATGCCAAGCCTGTCGGCTAAAAAAGTGCTTTGAAGTTCGCATGAACAGGGACGGTAAGCCAACTTATCTTTTCTTTCCAATCCAGTGAAAATTAAAAAAAAAACGTTTTATCTTGCAAATGTAAGCAGGGGTTATTAGTCGGGTTACAGGAAGAGGACACGAATTTCATAACAAAGGCTTTTCAAAGTGAAGGACAATAGGGCAAACTGAAATGTTTATCGCTCTTTGTTTTCAATCAGCATCCAATACTCTTTTAATGGAAATTTTTTGTCTTTTCGCTGCTAAAAGAGCCTCGTTCGTTTCCTCTCAATGTTTTGTATTAAGGACTGAGCATACCTGCTGAGACCACCTGTCCTAAAATAAAAGATTTGGGCTCACCCAAAAATGCGTTCGTCACAACAAATTCGCACTATTGTACAATACTGCAGAGATCTTTTAAGTTTCTACACGGATCAATGAATACTTTAAATTCTATCTGAGGATCTGTTGATGCGCCTTTAATGATCGCTGCCTTGTTTACTCAATTATTTCATCCAGCTTCGAAAACTTGCCGTGCAGATCAAAATGTTTTCTAATGAATTCTGAATGATCAGCGGGGTCTATCAGGTTGTATCAATTTGTTTTAGGTTCTGCATAAAAACGGTAATTTTAGTACGAGTTAAGCGCAGTAAGGGCAGCCATGTTCATAACGCGATAGCTTAAATAAAAGCCGTTGCGAAACGACTTTGTTTATTTTGACAATTTGCCCTAACAATACCTGACCTCACAACGGCGTTTCAAGATAACCTTCCCAATTTATACCTCAACTCAGGGTAGCTAATGCAATTATCCCAAAAAACCCCATTAATTATTGTTTACATGTTTTCTTTCAACGAATGGACCCTCCTTTTATTTGCGACAAAATTTTCTGTGCGCTTCCGAACTTCCGATTCGACTGAAAAGATTTCTTTGCCCATCGCCGCAGAGTAATCTATTATTTATTGCGTGTACTCAGCCCAATCCGAACTGAGTGGAGGTATTTCAATTCGTCTCTTCTGAGTCGCGAAACTTCTAAAGTTCTTTGATCGTTTTAGCACAAAGAACAATTTATACGCCCAATTGATTTCGAACTATGAAAGTCTTTCTTTAGAAACCTCACCACAGTGCTGTATTATGCAAAATTAGCGTTGTATGGAACCGTGGTGATTAATAATTCATTCCAGTGTTTAAAGACCGAAACAGAAAACAAACCCAATGTAAAATAAAAAGCTACTTAATAGATGCTTTTTTGGAGCTAAAAGACAGTACCCGAGCTTTTGTCTTCCACCACTGATCATTTTCGCGAGAAAAATACTTGAGGTCAAAGAATTCGAGCTCTGCTGAATTTTCACCACTGAAAAGCTTCCGCTCTGATTCAAGCGCTTTGCATTCTAAGAGAGAACGACTACAGAATATTTCTAATCGCGAGAAATTTTTCCTTCTCTCTCCCGTGCATGAAACTTTTCAAAAGTAAAAATAAATAGTCCTGTAGGGCACTGGAAAGTGTCGAATAGATTCCAAAAGTATTGGATTTTTTCCATTTGGAAGCTAGCCTATCCCGTTTCTTTATCATTCCAACGGAACTGAAATAATGGAAAAAAGTTAATCAGGTATAAACTTGCGTACCAATGCATGCATGATTTGTTCCCCCGACGCGCATTGTTCTACCGCGGTTTGTCAACATCCGTTTCTTTGAAGAGGTTTTTTCTGATTTATTGCTGAAATCAAGATCAAAGTCACGTTTCAATTAATTGGCCTTGCTTTTAAACATATCTCAGCGAAAATTCAGCGTGCAAATTCTTTAATATTCGTCAGTATGTCGCAGCTAAGTCATTGTAAAAGAATGAAGCTGAAAACGCATTATGAGCTTTTCTGTCTTCGAGGATCAACGCTGTCCTGTGGAATTCAAAAATGAATTAGGCCAAACAAAACAAACATTTCAAAGCCCTTGTTGTCTGTTAAGTATAAGGTCTTCAAAACGAAGGTGTCCCACCTTGTGACTAATAAGCCAATCAGAGTGAGAGAAATTCTGATCTCCATGAACAGCAGCTGAAAGTTAAGAAGACTGCTTTTGACATCAAGAGTGATTTGAGAGCCCCTGGGGCTCAGGTACATTAAACGGGTTTACTATTGTGATGTCACACACTCTGCTGTCATTGGTAACCAATTGAGAGGTTTTTTGTCCACCTCAATTGGGCTATCATTGTACAGCATAGCTCTCAGGTCGGTAGTTTTTTGAAAAGGCATGTACAGTAACTCTACTATGTTACATCACTGTTCGTGCGTGCCAAAAAAAAAAAAGTATAAGTTTTTTAAGTTCGTTGATTGCAAATTGTGTCGATTTTCATGATCCTCGGAAACGTCCAGATTCCTCTTTGGTTTCTTCTGAAATCGCCGATGATTGGCTCTAGCATCAAACTATCATCTCAGGGTTCAATTCCATAAAAAAGTAATTCTGAATAACTAAAAGTATCGGGATGTGATTTACTTCCTTAGTTCATTTTCATTCAATAAAATCAGTTCAAGACTTGTCGGACATTGTGGCTGGTAACACCAGACTGGAAGAGAACAATGAGCTTCTGAACTAGAATTTGCGCCCTTGATTTCATTTCAATAAAATGTAGCTCGAAAAGTCTATGCATCTGGGAAATTCATGACACGTGTTGATGGGGTAGGAAATTACACCCTTAGTAATGTAATTGTATTACACTCAAAAGATCTCTCGGCATTATCGGGTTATGTTAGAACAAAGAGAACTTTGTGGTAAAGACAGGAAAATAGCGTTTGACTGAATACTTAGCAAAGCTTAAAACTATATCAAAAAGTTTGTTTTGATTAAGTATAGCCAGAAGACTAATTAAGTTGAGCACAGAAAAAAAAATTAACAGTCAATTGAAACCAACATGAGATTATGTAAAGAGCGTGCTTCGATTTTGACCTATCTTTGAACTCAACTGTCTTTCATAACATTCTAGGAAAGGAAACCCAACCTTTAATTTTAGCATGTGTCTTGCCAAGGTAAATAAAAGGCGCAAATAAACAATTTCTATAAATTTCTATAAAGCTTTTATTTTAAGTTTTTATTTTCGATTACGTGTATATCGCCCACTAAAATATTTGGCGGCATGCTATCTTATTGTGATGAATCAGTTCGTTAACGTTTGTCCAGTTTTATAAGCTTATGTTATGATTGGTTTTCAGCCGTGCAACACGAACGTGCTCCGCGTACAAATCAGTTCAAACAGGCGTCAAACGAAGAAATCCGATGCAAGCCTCTGAAGAGGAAACATAACAGCTACGAGCAGGAGCATATGGATCTCCCACCAGGCCAAATCCACGTAACTCCAAAGAAAGAAAAACTTCTGGACTCTCCTGTTACTCCGGAACCTATATTCTTCAGGAACAGCCCACCCAGATATACTATGGAACATAAGAGCGCCTTCCTCATGGGATATTCAAACGCCGAGAGCCCAAAAGACGTCCCAGTGGCTGTTTCCGTGGCGACTGCAATGACACCTCCGCACACGCCCCAGCATGGACAACAGGTGCCCTATCCAATCATGTATCTTAGCTCACCGGAAATGCTGCACGAGTCCGCTGTGCGGATTCTATTTATGACCGTGAAATGGGTTCGCAACATTCCGACATTCTTTGATCTTCCATTCCGCGATCAGGCGATCTTATTGGAGGAGGGCTGGAGCGAGCTTTTCATTCTAAGTGTCGCGCAATGGAACTTGCCCGTGGAGATGGGAACTTTGCTCGCGGCTGCGGGATTGAGCCCGGAGCGGGATAACTCGGACAAGTCAGTCTGCGGGATGAGTGAGATCAAGGCAATGAAAAATATTGTGGAAAGGTTTAGAGCAGCGAATATAGACCAGACGGAATATGCCTGCTTGAAAGCCATCATTCTCTTTAAGCCTGGTATGCTAACTTTTTTTTAAACTTTATGTTTGTTTAGAGAATAAAGAGAGTCTCAATGGCGTTTACTGGTAGCCGTAAGATGGCCAAAAACTACAGCTTTTAGGCGTAAAATTTGACAACTTTTCAAGCGATAGTCGTAAAAAAAAAACCGTAAAAAATTCCGGTGAAAACAATGGAATGATATTAACCGTTAGCCTTAAAATGGCCAAAATTTTAACCTTAAGCCGTAAAATCTATTACTCCGTCGAGACCCTTATTCAACAACTGCTATCAAATTTTTTTTCTTTCCGAATGGTTTGATAGAATTTGAAAAGTCAACCCTCAATAATATTTTGCTCTTCATATTTACAATACTAAATTTCTAAAATCTTTCTGCCGCGCTATTACCAAAATGCAAAAACCTAAGCCTGAAATAGCGGAGAGTTCAACCGGTATATCTGGTGTTCCTAGACAAGATTTAAAAGACCAAACTTGAAATTTTTGACTCTATCTGTGAATATGGAAAGGTAGCCACGTAATGTAAGTGAGCGTAGTCATGGGACGGACTGTTGTTGGTTGCAGTGACAACTTGAGCGCAAGTCATCAACAATTCTTTTCAAGACTACTCTGCACGATCAGACCACGAGTTCAATGTTACGCCTGGTTTTAAACCATATTCTTTACTAAGACAAACAAACCGTGATGCTCAATGAGGGCTATGAAAGAAATAATGAAATAAAAAATAATTAATCGCTATGAAATCATTAAAGCTTATTTTTTTCATTCTCGCTGTTACAGATATTAGAGGACTAAGAGCCCCGAGTCACGTTGAGCAACTTCAAGACCAAGCGCAAAGCATGCTGGGAGAATATGACCGCCAAACGTATCCAAACCAGCAAGTTCGCTTTGGACGATTACTCCTCATGCTACCTGCATTGCGAGTGCTGTCCGCAAAATGCATTGAGCAGATGTTTTTTCGTGGTACGCTTGACAACATCCCAATGGAAAGGCTCTTATCAGACATGTTTAAGTCCGCATAATTCGTCTTCAAAAGTTGGTTTTGCAAGATTCTACGCCCGGACGTATAAATTCGCCTGAAACGGCGGAAAAAGAAATTGAAACGCAAAAAAATAAGCGCTCGCGAAGTGAGCGACGTAAGAGCGTGGGTTGAAATCGGACAGTAACGGTGCAACACGAAGATTGCAATGGATAATATTCGTAGACTTGTCCGCGGAGAATTGAAGATGCTCCTTCAAACTGATGTATGGAAGGATGGTGAATTGTAATATTGCAGGCTAAGTCTGGTTTCGATAACTTCCGATTGGAAACCTTGATGGAAAGGAGAATAAAATACAAGCATAATGTTGTCCGTTACTGAATCAGACACAATAAACAGTGACTACAGCAAGAGGAAATCATTTCACGTTCTCTTGCTTTCAATTTGAATACCTAGATATTTTTATCCTAATTCAAGCTTCTTTTAGCTATATATTTAGAGGAATTTTTCTCCTTTCTCAAAATATCACGAAAATTCTTAAAACAGTTTACCTCATTTTTCCCTCAATTAAATTCTTATTTTTACTTTAGCTTGAGTATCACAGACTTCGTTTAGCTTATTTTTCTTTCATTTCTCTAGTATTTTGCTTTTTCTTAATATTTCAAAATTTTTTCTCTCAAATTAGTCAGAATTTTATATCTAAGGTTTTGCACTATGCCATTTATAAGAAAATTAACTACACAAATAACTAAGTTTTTTTTTACATTTTAGCAAAAACAATATGCAATGCTGAAATTTTGGTGACTAAAAGTTTTGAAAGGAAGAGTGGAAAGTCAGAGAGCAGACCATTCCTGAAATCTGTCGAAACAACTCAAAAACGCGTTTCATATGAACTGAGTGGTATCTTGAAAACGGAGTTTATATGGTTATTCTTGTTAAGAATTTTAATACAAATACCGCGAAAGAGTCATTGAAAAGAAAAGCTCTAGAAGCGCAAAATATATATGTAATTATCAATTAATAATCATCCGTTAATAAAGATTTTTTACAATGAAGGAACGTGAATTGTAACTTGTATAGAAAAGTGATAGAAAGGAATGATAGATGACCAACTTGAAACTTTTTTACTTAATTTGTCAAGATAAATAAACCGTGGCTTTAAATTGCCTTAACCTGTGATTAAAGTGGACCTTGCTCATACGACCAACAATGGGCCATAACAGATGATTACAGATAAAAAGGTGATCACCTAAACTGGTTAAAGCGCAATAACTCATACAATTTGTTTTAGAAAGTGTACTTGCCCGGAACTAGCATATACCAGTTTTTTCATGTGCGTTATTGACCAAGCGTGAGGTCAAGATCGCTAGATATTGGCTAAGTTCTTTTTATTTATTTATTTATTTTTTTTTTTTTTGGGGGGGGGGGGGCGTTTTTATAGACCGAGACGAAGCGCAATAAGCCAACGAGAGTCGTGTGTGCCTAAGCTGTCCAAAAATTGCGAACGTTTTAAATCCGCCCCACATAATGTTTTTCTTGCACGGAATCAAAGGGCAATCCCGAGCGAGATTGCCCATTCGGGTAGCAAATCAGAACACCGTCGGAGGTTCGCTTCATATTGCCCACAGGCGCTACCAGCGGTGAAATAACATGTTTTAAAGGAGACTCGAGGAAAGACTGGTCAGCAGTGATAATTTACCTGGTTCTGTATTGGGTAATTTGAAAACGAAACCCTCTAGGCAAATTGGAAATGCATTGAGGGAAACTATGCTGCAATTCTAATCTTTGTTTATCCAGCAAGCCTCCTTGGCAACTCTTTTTTGGGAAGTTGTGTTTGCTAAATTATAAATGTTCGGCGAACAAGTTTCCTTCACAGCTCAAATGCCCAGGCCAGAAGCAACGAGCGAAACTGCTTGTATTAAGGGGGCAAGTTTCAAGAGAAACTGTGGTGCTGCGTCGGTGGGAGAGGACAACTGGGTAATTTAGTGTTATTAACTGAATTGATAACGTAAATTGTCCGCCGTAAAGAGTTTAAAAAGCCAAAGTTTCGAGCGTTAGCCCTTCGTCAGAGCGAATGATGACGGGCTAGCGTTCGAAACGTCAGCTTTTAAACTCTTTACGGCGGCCAATTTACGTTATCAACTCAGTTGGTAATACTAAATTGCCTGTGAAACTGCTTGTAGCCTGCTTTCCTTGGTTCTGAGTGGTCCTAAGATCATGAAGACTTATACGAAAACATATACAAAATATTTCAAGTACATACAGCTGTTTTCGAAAAAGGTTGTCGTAAAAAGGAAAAAACTGCACGCAACAATCCCTGAAAGCAATCTGGGTATCAAGTAATCAATGAATTTTAACAATTCAAATAAATAACTTCATCCAACCTACGATGCCTCGTTCCTACTATGACTTTTCTCAGATTTCTCTGAAATCCTGAGGTAAAAGAAAAAAGTACCAACGATATTTCCGCATGCTTTTTTACGCTTTTTTTCCCGCAACTTTTCTCAAAGCAACTGTATATAAAGTATTTGTTATGTCTTCTACAAGGATTTCCAGCCCTGAGAAAAGCTGCAAAATCACTTATGGAAAAAAACGATATTTTTTCACGCCTGTTTGATATCGCCAATCAGCCGCTGACACGTCACTCGCCCTTTGCGCAACTCCGTCAGGTTGATGAATGAACGGCAAAACCTTCGCCATTCTCAATCCATGGTCGTTTGTCGTAATTTTGTCGGATTATGGCTACTAAAACACTGAAAAATCACCATCGCTTAAAGACAGTGACGTCAAAACTTTCGTAGAACGGGAAGAAAACCAAAATACGAAAAAAAATCGAGAGTTACGTATTCAGCGGCTTTGGTAATGGAAATTCTCGCGGCTGAGAACAAAAATCGACAGTTGGAAGATTTGCCACAGGCCGACTTTGGCCGTTTACCTGGAAGATTTCTTGTGTCGGTAAGGACAAAGTCAATAACTGATAATTTTTGTATATTGAAAATTACGCCCACTGTTGTTTTTGTAATGATTCAAGGCGTTTTTTTTTATCTTAAGCCTTTCGCTAACGCACTTTCTCATTTTTATTCGGGGATCATCATCATCAATAAAGTCAACTTTTCTTGTCAGTAAAGGGCCATTGTGTTTATATAATAAACAAAGTAGTAGTTGGTTGCCAGTAAGTATGGCTGCGCTTAATCGTGAGCTATCGTCTGTTGAACACTCCGTGAGAAATTCCATATCTACGCGCGCCATGAATTATTCTCTATTTCTCTACTTCCCCGTTTCTGTAAACATAGCAACAGTTCCTTGCAAAACACAATAAGTACTTTTCCCTAGTGGCGGAACGCCCGTGTGGAATGTTATATTGAATTAAATATTTTGAATAATTTTTTAAGCGTGAGCTGTTTACTACAGTTGGAGCTGAAAGCGGATGACCATAACTATTCGACGTGGCTACTTTATCTCTATTTATGGAGGAAAAGTGCAACTGTAAAAGCTGAATTAGAGATTTTGAATGGGTTATCAGGCGTGAGGTTTCCACTACAGTTGGAGCTGAAAACGGACGATTACAGATATTCGACGTGGCTTTTTTATTTCTTCTTACGGAGGGAAACAGAGACGCGCAAAGCTGGTAGGGAAATATGTTTATGTTTTATTTTATCACACTAAGGTAAATGGCTGACGAGAAGCTCCCAAAACAAGGACGCTAAAGAGAATATTCAAGTGACTATTGCGTGTCAAATTGGCATTGATTCTGATCAGCTGCCTGCGAAGATTTTTGAAAAGCGAGTTTCTCGCAATAAATTAAGAAGAAACAAATGATATGCCAAGAAATGTAGTTGTTCTGATAACAACATAGATGATAACAGAAAACCAAAATATTTTTTTCCTGAAGCTCAGTAAATGTCAGCAAATAATCCTTTGGACTTTGTAAGCGATTCCTGCGCCAGAGCAACTATGGCGAGAAAAAAAAGTTCTGCAGAAATTCCGAGATCCCGAAAAATTACATATTTGCATTTGTCTCAAGCCTGACTTGCTGCCTTCAACTTCCGACACTAGGGAGCCCTAGAATGGCTACGAACAGGAGCCCAAGTAATGGGCCCCTGATACGAACGATAATTTTCCACATCAAAAAAAGGAAATTAAAAATTATTTGTCAGTTACGCGACGGGATTTCGATGAATACAGCATTTCATAAGACACGTTTGTTATCACAGAAAATTTCAGCTGAGTGAGTTTACCCTTAAGCCTCGACTTCATGCGCTCAGTCCAGTTCTCCTTGTTCCCGGCCCAGGAACATCGAAAGTGGGCCATTTCTAGTCGTATCAAACCTTCGTTCCCAGAGCCTTTCGGCTCACAGGGATGGGAGCAAGGGTTAGCCCATCACGATTAAGTCCCAGTCTCAAAGGAAGTAGGAGAAGTTTTTGATATTTATCTTATCTTATAGACAATGATATTTGTCATCACAATGGTCAAAATGTTGTGGACTTACAGGCGCAGCCGAGTAAGTCCGCAACAAATTTTTACTAATGTGATGACAAATATTATTGTCGATAAGAGTACAGAGCAAGCTTAACGACCGTTGATTTGTTTTTTTTTAACCACAATGTCGACGTCAAATAAAAATATTCTTTCAGTGCGTGACCATCGCGTGACACGTTGACGCGAGCAGCGTTATCTGTACTCTTACCGACAACGGTAAATTGGCCGATCAGATTGCGATATCATTGCCAATTGTGGTAAAATTGTTTTAATCAATAGTTTTTGCAATCATTCAATGCTCCAGAATATCTCCCTTTCACAATTGAATTTGTGTTGAAACATCCGAACTCTTCCGTGCAGTTCCGATGGGGTCCGATGATTCTCGTTGGTTTCCGATGAGTTTCGAGGCGTCCCGATGAACTCCACTGAGTTCCGATGAGCTCCAATCGCGCTTTATAGCCAGAATGCTTCTCTATTTGTATCAGATTGAACTTTAAGGGGAATAAATGAGATAATTTGGGTAATGTTTGCTATAGTGGACAAGCCTCCCATCCAAGACACTTGACAAAATTTCAAGCTCTCTTGGTGCCACGGAAATCGACATTACCGCCGTAAAACTAAGTGTTTCCTTTATCTCATTCACCTTCTCTTCTCTCCGATCTTCTCTTCTTTAGGAGCGTGGCTAAGCATGCACAGGCTACTGCATTTTGATAGAGCCAATAATTTACATTGCATCGTAAGAATAAGGAAAACACGTTTTAAAAGCTAAAACTGAGGGAATTTGCTGTTCTGCTTAATTGAATTTCTAACTTTTACACTTCAAATTTTGCTGTACATATTAAGGGCAATGACCTGCCTAGATTTTTAATACTAATATTTCCTTATAACCACTATGGGGGGGGGTGATGAAAATTATAACTGCTAATAAGGGGGAATCGGTCATCAGAATAATACAGAGCCTAATAGGG